GTGTGTGTGTGTGTGTGTGTGTGTGTGTGTGTGTGTGTGTGTGTGTGCGTGTGTTTTTGTGCTCCAGAGTCCGTATTTAGGCATGTGCACATGAAAGTACATTGTGTGTTTGTGTAAATTCTGCCACCCTGCTCTTCAACCTCCTCTCTTTGTCTGGTCCCCTGCGGCTAGACTCCGACAGTGGAATAACACACAGTCATATGGGCTTCCTGGTTTCAAAGACCTACACTGTGTCAGAAGATGGTTACGGCTGCCTGTCAGGCCTCATACCTGCTCTGGAGCTCATGGCCCTTTATGTGGCCGCTGCAATGCACGACTACGACCACCCTGGGCGGACCAATGCTTTCCTCGTGGCCACCAGTGCCCCACAGGTACTCGTGCTATTCAGCCAAGAAAATTACATCTGATTTCGAGCAAAGTCAGTAGAAGTCTAATCGCTTAATTTACTGTTACACACTCAGTTTTTCTTTGTAATCAACAAGTTGATCATTTGATTGCCAATTTTCTTCCACTTTGTCTATTTCACTGCCAAACTGCCCTGGCAAACCTGACGCAAATCATCAATCTTTGACAGCATGATCAGACAATCACCAGTTACAGTAGCTTCCCGTGGCTTTTAGAAATTGATAAGTAATGAGGAGGAAATGTCAGTGTTGGATTTGTAAAGTTCTGTTGAGATTTGAGTATCTTCTGTCTAGACATGCGTCCTAAATGTAGGTAAACACACCGTCATAATACTGAAAGATTGCTTATCAATCAGAAGGTAGCAGTGTAGTGCAGTGGCTCTATTCCTCTTGACAATACTAACACACTAGAAGCATTTAAGTCATCTACATCATCCACTCTCTTAGCTAGTGTATATGCAGGAATGCTGGATTCACATACAGTCATTTCTGTACTTGTACATGTAAATGTAAAGTGTTTGTGTGTTTGCAGGCAGTGCTTTACAATGATCGATCCGTCCTGGAAAACCACCACGCTGCCTCAGCCTGGAACCTCTTCATGTCGCAGCCGGAGTACAACTTCCTCGTCAACCTGAACCACGGGGAGTTCAAGCGTTTCCGTTTCCTGGTCATTGAGGCCATATTGGCCACTGATCTGAAGAAGCACTTTGACTTCCTAGCTGAGTTCAATGCCAAGGTAGTTCCACAATCAATTGTTTGACATTAAATGTTCAAGTATGTGAATTTTAGATCAGAAGAGTTTATGAATGTAGTGATTAAATCCTAGGAAAATGTTAAGTTGACAACGTCATGAACTTAAAAACTTCTCGGATTGTTCATTGACCTTTGATTTAAGTCATTTGGGGGGTTTTATAGCTCAACTCTACGAATACCTTACCTAAATGTTTACGTTTTAATTTATTTTGTTGTCTTTGGAAACGAGGCTGAATGATGAATTTTCCGGACGAACTTTAAATTATAGCAGCATTATTCAGTTGTATGAGTCCAAAGTATGAGAGGTGCTTGTCTCAAACATTCATACCTCATTTATTGAAAGAGAAATGTCCAGTGGTTTTCGAAGAACAGGTCTGTTTGTGCAGAACATTGCAGCACTTGGAGTATGTTCCGCTCAAGTTCACGACACAAAGTGCCCTGCAGCTTTTCAAGAACTGCAGACAGAATATTGGCTTTGGATTTGAGGTTTTTCCATTTTGAGTATTAGTACAGTGGTGGTGCTCGATGGTCAGGGCCTGTCAACTAGCACTGAGCTTGCTGGCTTGGCAGCAAAAGTAACAGCAAGTCTCTTACTGTAGTGCACCCCGCTCTGCTCTTCCTTGAAACAAATTAGCTTTCCGTGAAGTACCCATCAAGTTTCTCACTCGATCTCGTCAGCTTCTTGAATTATTAGTTGAGAATGATAAGACTGCTGCTCCCTCTTCAGACCTGAAGCTCATAAAGCAAAACTAGAAATAACAAAGTAATTCAAACAGTGTCGTTGTCAATGCAAGCGGTAAGCTCATGTGTTTGAGAGCTACGGCGTCTGTAGCAATAAGTTAATAATCAAAAAGTGCGCCGATTTAGTTATATCTTACACAAACTATGAGTGGTCAAAATGTATTTAAAGCAGTAATGAAAACCTCTCCACTTTATCAGGAGCAAGTCTGTTCATGTAACTCATAATAAGAGTGGGAGGTACAATTAAAATACCTCAATAAACCTTCGAGACATTAAAGTGAACACACAATCTTTGAACAACAGATTAATGGCATCACATTAACATAATACCCATACATCAAATGCTGACAACATATTTGACTATGTTAAATATTAAATGTCTGTCTGTCGATCCCCTAGGTGGGGGATGATCCATCCACGGGTATTGATTGGTCTAATGAGAACGACAGGTTGCTGGTCTGCCAGATGTGCATTAAACTGGCTGACATCAACGGGCCTCTGAAGCACAAGGACCTGCATCTGCTATGGACCGAGGGCATCGTCAACGAGTTCTATGAACAGGTGTGTGAACTGTCCCCAATGGGAACTTAGACCTTGTTTGTATTTGTTTAAGTAGAGATCAATCTATTGTCATGTTTACGTGAAGAGGGAAACGAACACGTGTTCAGTATAACACACTGTCCGATGTGGTAAATGTTTTGGTGTCGGTGTTATTGTAATTTCTGAGGACGTCATTTTATCATTTTAAATTTTGGTTTATATAAATATTATAACACATATGTTATTCTGTCTTTAAATTAACTCCAACCCAAGCTTCTCGTCGTTTAAGTTTAATATTTAGTATTTGTGATGTTTTTTTGTTGTTGTTTAAGATTTACATTTTGTAGAAACAAATGGACACAACACATTTATAGTTTTGATCTTTTCATGGGATTTGTTTAACAAAAATAAAGAATAAAGACAGCACATAGAAAATTGCCAACCTTATCATTTCAGCAGCAAAACTATACGCCTTATCTTAATCTTAACATGCATATCATACCCATAATTTAAACTTTGAAACCAACCTCTAAACCTCTTCATTTTAATCAGATCCCTCACCAACTAGAATTTCCTCACTATGCAAATGTCTAAAAATATAACTGGTGAAACACAAACAAATATACACATTCACATACAGAGTGGGTAAATATACTGTATTTAATCTACTTGAATTTGTCTCAAATAAAGTAGAGGAGCACAACAGAAGGACTCCTGTCTGTGTGTTCCAGAAGTTCATTATATTTAGTCTCAAAGAAGCAAGTACAGAAACTGAAATACAATCCTGCCCTCTTTATTTTTTCCTCTTTATAGACTTTGGACTCAAGCTTGATTGGTTTTACTCCCTTTAATTTATTTTTCATTAAATCTTTCGGACATATTGAGATATATACGGCAGTGCTCCGCCTGAGAGCTGTTATTGTGTGAGGTGCTTTCATAATTCCATGGCAAGATTGATGCATCTGTTCAGTTATGTATTCTACTTTTGCATTTACATGTTATTTACTTAAGCCGAGGAAACAGTAGACATATTAAAGGACTCTTGTAGTTTTGGCTCTATTGTCAGTGTAATAAAATAATGTGTAATTGTGGCCTCATGTTGAATATACTTTCAGTGACCACCTTATTAGGTACACTTGTACAATCTATTGAGAATGTAACTTCTTTACATTGTATTAGAATGTAACTTCTTTACATTCTAATACAATGTAACTTCTTTACATTCTATTAGAATGTAACTTCTTTACATTCTATTAGAATGTAACTTCTTTACATTCTATTAGAATGTAAAGAAGCTACAGTGTATAGAATGATTCTATTGAAGTTATTCCTTTTTTAAATGTTTTAGACGAGTCACTAATCACTTTAAAAGAATGATTATAGCTGATTTAACTTACAGACATGAGATTGATCTTCTCATGTCACTCTCTTTATACAATGATATAAATTCATCCCCATTTTATTGATATCTTACGAAAAATTACTCCTCACTTTTCGTGCGTTTTTCCTGCAAAAGTCCAGCAACACGAGTCTGTGTTCGCTTGTTACATGCATACTGTCTTTTCAAAATAAACTTCCATCTTCACAGGAAACAACTAAGGTTATTCTATTGCGATTCAACACAACAGCTCTGCCATCATTTCTACCTTGACTAAGTTCATCATGTTCAGTTTTTGTTGTATACCAAATTCAAGTATATGTTTATTACTGAGGTAATAGTTAGAGGTGGTGTTGTAATGGACTACTTTCCTGTATATTATGGCTACAACGCTTAAAAGTGTAATTCAATTCAATTAATTCAGGTGTACCTAATAAAGTGGCCACAGTGCTGTTACTGATCAACTGAACCTAATGCCATGCTCAGTGACCTTTGTTACAGTAAGCTCAAGCCCTTATGTACCTTATGTGCTAGTTCAGATAGGTGACACAATCGGCTTGGTACAAGCCTCTATGGGGGCGGACTCACAGACCCTGGGTGCCTCGCAGAAGAAATGCTCTTCAGTGACAATAGTTTCAGGGCTGCTAGATGTGGTGACACAAGCCAGCTGCCCAGGCAACCGTCGTTCAGGTGGAGCAGAAGCCTGTGATTACACTGACCTCCTTGAGAGTCCACCAACTTTAAAAAATAAAAAAAGCGGCAAAGCAATACGACTTCTCCTCAATACAGAACATGTTCAGGCATGCATACAAAGCATACACACCATCAAACACATACACGTTGTTATGGAGTACAAGAAAACATGTCGACAGAGCCTTGAGGATAAGATTTGTTCGCAATGCTGAAAGAATCGCTGAAATTGATTATGTTGTGTGAACTAGGATCTGGGTGTCTTGAATCTGAAACGCAATGCTGGATGAATCTCTGGGCTTACCGCGCCTTACACTATACATATAGTCCTACTCCCAAATATGAGCAGTCTTGTATTTATTTGGATAGCTCTGTGAGAATACAGCTGACCACTGTATTCATCACACTGTTTCTTAAATTTATCTCATAGACATGAGATAGCTTACCTTGCAATGCCTCTGAAATCTACCCATCTGTTTAGGACGTAGTAATGGTGGCAGCTGGATCTCAGAGCTCCGCCTCCTCTTCTTTTATGTAGGCTCACCTGTCAAGAAATTCCAACAAGTTGCAGATCTGCATTCTTAATCTTGTAGTGAAACAAATAATTCGATAGACATTGGCTTGCCATCTTTCCCATGTATGCATTTCGGCCTGAATGACTCAGTTTTTTTGTATGTTGGAAGGTGAATCTTGCCATGTCTTGACATTCATGAACTAATGTGGGCCATGCTTCATGTAGGGCGATGAGGAGTCCAGCCAGGGCCTCACGATCAGCCCCTTCATGGACCGAGCGGCACCACAGTTGGCCAAACTCCAGGAATCATTCATCACACACATTGTGGGACCGCTGTGCAACTCCTACGACTCAGCCAGCCTCATTCCTGGACGATGGGTGGAGCCCAACCCGGAGGCAGAGGAGCCAGAGATCACCGAGAATGAGGAGGAGGACGATGAGGACACCGCAGAGGAAGACACGTCCACCAGCTCAGAAGCATCACGTAAGAACTTGTCTAAAACGAAAACTATAAACCTGAAGTAGTCGCACAAGCATAAAGAGGAAGTGATCAGAGATATGTGAACTTTTGCATGAAATTGCTTGTTATAGCCACGTATTCTCTTTAAAGAATTTTTTATAAAGTCTCTTGACCAGACTGGGAGTCGCACTGTACATGTTGTCGTGTGCACTTGTACAACATATCAGTCCCCCACAGCTTTAATAATTCTATGAAATACAGAGAAGAGTGGCGAGTGATTGAGCTATTTGGAGCTGCTTTTGTGTTATTGTTCAGCCTCTGTCTAAAAGGTCTGGCCACACAGTCTGACAGAGAGACCAATCACTTGAAGCTAGAAGCGGTTGGTTTGCTTGCTGATGAATGACTGCAACTGTTGGTTACTTTTCCATTCGGACAAAGTGAAAAATCAGTTGAAAACATTTATTTTCCAGAGAAAGGAACATCCAAGAACAGAAGGAAAGTCTTCTGCCAGATCACCCACCACCTGCTGGAGAACCACGAGATGTGGAAGAAGGTGATCGCAGAGGAGGCCCAGAAACAGGGCCAAGGAGCAGAATCTGTCCATTTAAACAATGTAGCCGAGCCAATCCTGGCTATTCACGAGGAGGAGGAGGAGCCAGGCAGCCGAGAGGAGCTAGTAGAAGGAGAGGATCCAGAGGAGGGGGTGGAGGAACCAGAGTGGCCCGTTTCTCCGCAGGAGGACTCTGAACCTCCAGTGGAACTAGCGGAGGGGGACCCACAGTGAAACAGCCTATTGGAAATATGGCGCCAGTCAGGGCAAGGACATGAAGAAGTATTTCTTGTTTTCTTATCCTATCAACTGACCCCTGTCTTTGCCAGCACTTCACTTTGACACAACACTGTAGATGTTTGGGAAATGTGTGCCTATACAGAAAAAAAAAAACAGGGTGGGAAAATTTGTGCTTTACACATTTTATCTGAATATCTGGTTTCACCAAACAGTTAAAGGAGCTTTCCATTTTGCAATACAGGATTATTTGTGTACTTTGGGATACAGACTCTTTTGCTACTGTCAAGAGAAGAGGAAAACTGCTCGCACAGACCTCAACCCAATGTGGTAACACAGGACTGCAGAAATTTGCTGCCAATTTATACATAATTATTTTCTGAATGCAATTATATATAGACATCACAGTTACTTGTACTTGTGTTTCAATTTTAGCAAGAGTTTTTGGAGGTCTCACATGGGCCATAATATGTTTTCTTTTTCTATATATGGATTATAAAGGGAGTCAATCAAATGAGGAACATTGGCGCATCATTTATTCCTTCCAACTTCAGCCAAAATGAATCGCTCACCCGTAGGATTTAGCATATGAAATCAAATGATAGCACTTTTTTGTCTTACATTTGTTGCCAAAAGAAGTACTTTATACGATTTGGTGTATCCATATGACTTTATGGTTGGAGACTCGAGGCTCCTTACACTCCTGTATTTGTGTGCGTGCGTGTGTGTCTGCATGTTTAAATTAGTGCGCTCAAATGCACAATCCTTCTGCAGAGAACATAGATAGATTTAGCAGATTTATCCGTGCCACCTCTGGTCTCCAGCCCCATGGTGAATATAGTGGTCATTACAGGGTTCACTGTTTCTAATGTGGTCCAGAGGCCTGCTCTGACGAGGCAACAAAGGGATGTTGGAAATGAATCTGTGCTGAATACAAAACCAAAAAGGGAATACAGAACATACAGTAATACTACCAAAGTGTTAAGGGACAAACAACTGCATTCTTAAAACACAAAGAACTAACTAAATATATTCAACAAAAGTCACTAAAATAAATGAGATGTAAAATCATACAAAGTTCTTTGAAGATGGCCATAGGTAGACTAACTAATACACTGTCCTACAACTTTTTTGTCTTTTTATTTGTTGTTTTTTTTGCAATTTTTGACTCTATGTATTTGGATTCAGTGTGCTGTATTATAGTCTTTATTTACTGGTTCTCATTATGTAAAAACCTGCAAATGATGCTGACCTTTAACCCTCAGGAAAAACTCAACTGTTGAAATTCAAAGTAAACATCTGTATCACCTGTGAGGACAGTAAGTTACAGTTACGGTTACAAATATGCAGGGATAGTAAGCTTTGAATATGTTCATAGAAGGCCAAGAGCCTTTATGCCACAACCCCTTTGACTATTACAACATCTTTGCATCTAAAGTAGAAAATATTGCTCTTAATGAAATGGGTATACATTGCAGTAAAAGTTAGATTTTCAGTAATGGCCAAGACGACGGTGTTGGCATGCAGTATGTCTTATTTAACTTTTACTCTTTGGAACATCAAGTTTGTCATTTGGATTTTCTCCCAATGTTCCGTCCCTTATACTTAGTCCTTGTGAATTTATCCCAACATTTGGCCCTAAAAGTTTGTGTCCCATCACTTTTTATGGTGGAAAATAATTGCATTAGTAGCACAATGCGATTATATTCAGAGATGACATTGTCGACCTATAACGCAAATCTTTGGGTCATTGTTTTCTTATTGCTTCATGACCACTGTGATAATAAGAACAAAAAGGTAGTGAGTATGTTAGTTGTAGCAATCGTCTACATAGAGCTTTCCTGTGATGTAACTTACAATAGGTGTAGAGCTTCAGGCCCTTGTGTCCTGCATTGATATGCTCTAATATCACCCAATGTTCCCAGCTGTGGTGACTCCATCTGTAACGGCCTGTTAACTGCTGCCCTGACGCGCCTCTCTGCTACAGTGTAAAGGGGAAGAGGACGAACTCAGGAACTGCAGCTTTTAGGCCAAGCAAGTTGAATATAATTGGTTGACCAACTGATTAGAAAGGCATTAGACAGCAAATCAGATCAAACTTGAGGCAGCCACTGAATCAGACACTGAATGCGTTGCCTCACTCATTGTATTTTATATACAAAATCCCTCCGGTTTTCTCTATGTTGCCTGCAATTCATCCCGAATGAGCTATATAATCATCATGACATATACAATAAACACATTTTATTCAGCATTTTAAAAAACCTGATGCGATCAAACCAATGTAATATAGGCAAGCAATTCAATACAACACAAACTTCTTTGCTAAAGTGGTCCAGAATTATTAATATATATAATTACATCAACTTAAACTCTGTGTGTGTGTGTGTGTGTGTGTGTGTGTGTGTGTGTGTGTGTGTGT